TTGTCTGTGAATATGATTTGCAGTTTGGGAGTACTTTCCTTTGAAATCATTAAATCTTCACAGCTAAAGTAATTTTATCTCCTTGAAAAAATCCACTTATTACCTCATGCCAATGAAAAAGAAGTAAACTTTATATATTTTTTAAAATGTTTCCTAATGACTTAGACTACAAAAAGTTTCTTCTGAATTTGCTATATTACATGTTTGTTTTATACAGATTGCCTAATAGCTATTTTTTTAGACATAAATGCAATTTTAAAAAAAAGTCCTAAATACATGAATTTCACAGTAACCTTATAGCAGGTAAATGAGCCAACTTTCATGTTTTCTAATGACTTCATTGTTCCCCTGAAAGGTACACCATGAAAAAGAATCCACTTACCAGCTTTATTCTGCTGAACCTTTTATTTTCTAGGATAACAGAGCAAAAACTTTTCATCACAGGTTTTCCTGGAGGTAGGGTTACAGGGCAAATAAGACATAATGTGTGACTTTGGCAGTATGGAAGCCTTAAAGAAAATAAAATATAGCCATCCTCCATTCCCATTCATAACCCAGAATTTCACAGAATCAAAGAATCACAGATTGGCTGAAGTTGGAAGGGAACTCTAGAGATCATCTAGTCCAACCCCTCTGCTCAAACAGTAACACCTAGAGCGCATGGCTTGGGGTCACATCCAGGCAGCTTTTGAAGAGCTCCAGAGAAGGAGACTCCACAACYTCCCAAGGCAGCCTGCTCCAGGGCTCTGTCACCCTCATGATAAAGTTCTTCCTCAAATATACATGGAACTTCCTGTGTTTCGACTTGTACYCTTTGTCCTATCACTGGCCAAAACCAAGAAGAATTTGGACCCATTCTCCCTCCATTCCCTCAGGTGCTTATACATATTGATCAGATATTGTCTCAGTCTTTCCTCCTCTAGGCTAAAAAGGCCCAGCTCACTTACTCTTTCCTCATACAAGAGATGTTTGAGGCCCTTAATTGTGTTCGTCGCCCTCTGCAGGACCCTCTCTAGAAGTTCCACATCCCCCTTCTATTGAGGAGCCCAGAACTGCACCCAATACTCCAGGTGTGGCCTCACCACAGTGGGAAAAGGGGCAGAATTACCTCCCTCGACTGGCTGCCACGACTCCTTCTGATGCAGGCCAGGATCCCATTGGCCTTCTTGGCCACGAGGGCACACTGCTAGCTCATGGTTAACTTGGTATCTACCAGGACCCACAAATCCCTCTCCATGGAGCTACTTTCAAGTAGGTCARCCCTTAATCTGTACTGGTGTTTGGGGTTATTCCTCCCCAGGTGCAGGACCCTGCACTTGTCCTTGTCGAACCTCATAACATTCCTCTCTGCCCAACTCTCTGAATGAATGACAGCACAGACTCTGCACAATGGTTTAAGATAATGCACGATTTCCCTGGATATCGAGGTTCAGATTGGACCATGTGGTTGGATCTAATCCTAGTTCCAGACCTGGTCAACAGTTTATGATTAAGGTATTTTGTGCACAGTTACAAAGCAAAGTTCAGAAACAGAGCACGCTATATTCACTTGCCACAAATCTGTTGTGGAAAGGAATCTCTCAGTCTCGAGGAGTAATCTGGAGAGGCCCTGCTCAAGGGGAGATCCTGATGTGCAGCCTGCTGCCATGCCAGGAGAGCTCAAGGGGCTCTTGGGCTGTCCACATATTTATTTATAGGATAAAATGATTGACTTTTAGAGTCCTTCTTTCACGTCAAAGGACCTTTGCTAGTGTACTAGCCTTTTCTCCCCATTGGGATGCAGCTATTAGGACTGTTATGTTGACGTCTGAGTGGGAGAAGCAATCAGGAAGACGCCTACCAGGATTAGATAAATTGCTGGTGGTTAACAACTGAATAGGGGTACATGTGCAAGGTCGGGTCGAGCTGGGAAAAGAGCATATTCATCACAGGATGTTATGGGAGGCTGTGTTGAAAGCCTTGCTGAGGTCAAAGTAGACAACATCCACGGCTCTCCCCTCATCCATCCACCTCATCATCCCATTGTAGAAGGCTAGAAGGTTGGTCAAACATGATTTCCTCTCCTGATCACCTTCCTGTCCTTGACATGCCTAGAAGATCATGCTCCATCACCTTTCCAGGGACAGAGGTGAGACTGACTGGCCTGTAGTTTTCAGGGCCCTCCCTCTTGTCCTTTTTACAGATTGCAGTGACGTTGGTTCCTTCCAGTTCTCTGGCACCTCCCCTGCTCTATATGACCTCTTGAAGATGATGGAGGATGGCTGAGCAATAACCCCTGCCAGTTCCCTCAGCACTCTTGGGTGCATCCCATCTGGGCCCATAGAATTATGTATTCCCAGCTTGCCTAAATAATCCCTAAACCAATCCTCCTTGAGCAGTGGAAAGTCTTCTTCTCTCCTGTCTCTCTCTCATATATGAAGTCTGTAGTTCTTAGGGGCTTGCAAAAGCAAAGGGGCTTTGCAGAAGCAAAGAAGGCAAGTCTTCCTCCTGATGATATATTTGTAGAAGCCCTTCCTGTTGTCCCTGACATCCCTTGCAAAATTTAATTCTAAATGAGCTTTGGCCTTCCGCCTTGCATCCCTGCATTCTCTGACAATGTTCCTATATTGTTCCCATGTGGTCTGGCCCTTCTTCCACTTTACATTCTTCCACTTCCACTCTCTTTTTCTCATCAAGTTTACCCAACAGCTACTTGCCCATCCWCACAGGTATCCTTCCCCGCTTACTCGACTTCTTTCTTGTAGGAATGCATTGATCCTGAGCTTGGAGAAAGTGGTGCTTGAATATTGTCCAACTCTCCTGGACCTTCTTTCCTTCTAGGACCCTGGTCCAGGGCATTCCTCTAAGGAGCTCCCTGAGAAGTCAAATTTAGTTCTCTTGAGGTCCAGGGCTGCAATCCTAATTCTTGCCCAGATTCGTCCTCACAAGATAGTGATTTCCAACATCTCATGGTCACTTTTCTCATTTGCTCTTTAAGGGCAAATTTAAAGAGTTAAATTGGACATAAAAAAAAAAGACATTTTTAAAAGTGAAGGAGAGGGAATTAATATTGCTGATAGTTCTAATATATACAAGTATCTATTAAATTATAATAAATTAAAATGGCTTGGAATATCAGAGAATTATCATAAATAGGACTAAAAACAAAAAATTTTAAATACTATATCAGAGGTAGAGGTATCTTATTTTTTCTTAGTATTTGGAATTGAAGACAATGAAATACTTGAGTCATATAGAAGTTCTTTTGAATCTAGTAGATGTAGTGGATTTAAAGTAACTTGCAACAGGGAAGAAGTTTTATAAAATTAGTCCCATATAAGATTCTCAGGAGAATCCTAAGTCAAACTCACATGACGCCAAGATATGAAACCAGTCAGTGAGAAAGTGATTTAAGACTAAAAATGTCCAAGTCATCCAATGTCTAAGTCAGAAAAGAAAACCTAGTGTGTTCAGATGTGTCTAAAGATATACATGATTGATGAGCTGAAAAAAAAAGAGAACAGTCTGTTTTGTTTACTAAAAAAAAAAAAAAAAAAAAAAAAAAAAAAAAAAAAAAAAAAAAAAGGAAACAATGATTCTCTATCTCTGATACATTCAAATCAATAGTGGATTCCATTCCAGGGACTGTACTTTGACCAAGACACAAATTTCGTATGGAGGTAACTATACTAATAGACTCAATGAAATTTAATGACTTGTGATGTTCAAGAAGAAGATTAGGGAATCTAATATTGACTTCTGAGGTCCAACTGTGAGTCTGTGAATTTTCTTGATCTCTCTAAAAATACTTGAATTTGGATCCATTCATCTGAGATTTGGAGCCCAACCACAGTAACCCACAGGTAGAGTTTCATTGGATGAACTTTGCGCATGGGTGGTTCTCACTGCTGCGTATGTTGTGTCTACAAATGGACACCATGAAAATTGGAGGAAAAAGTTTTTCATTGCAACTTTATATAATCATAACAAGTACCATAAATGGAAGTTAGTAAGTGGTGGTAGAAATTAGTCATACTTTGAATATGAATCTCTGTTATGAACTACAGCTAAACTCTGTTATCTCCACCTAAACTACAATGGCTTTCAAGTGTGTTTATATCTAAGTTTAGACTTGAGAGCAAGTAAATCCAAAATCATTTTTCAATGAATAAAGAATCAGTGTACATCAGTTATATTTCCTTTTTTTGAAGTTTTGATTTTTTTTATTAGAATACCCAAAATAGTCTAGATTTCAGTTCACAACTCGCTACACGAAGAAAAATATGGCTGTACCAACTGAAAGCATTGTAGCAAAAAGTCCAGAGGCTGGTGACAAGTCTTTGGGTAAAAATAAAGGATAACCGAATGAGTGTAAACACTACCTATTGCAATTCTTCCTGCTCTATTAATGTAAATTACAAAGGTTTTATATAGGCTTATGTGGAATGGTTTCGCCCCAGAAAGCAGACATGTAACACTAAGTTAGATACTGTAGTGCCATTAATACACACTATTTAAGGGCCCAATTTGTTCACTCTGAGAATATTGCAGCAGAAAGTGTCTCCAAAAATTAGATCACCTCAGGTTATTCAAGATCCCCTAGTTAGGTGAAAATAACAGTTTTCTGAGCACCTGGGTTCCACTTCAGGAAAAATGGGAAGTGTTGGAATTTACTATGTTYATCCAGGTTTTGAAGTTGTTATTTTTCTTTAACCTATAGAGTGAAAGTATTGAGAACAGCAGGAATAAAGCATAGAGAGCTAAAGAAGCTCTAGAGAGAATTTAACTGAATTGCCTAATGCCAATATAGTCTCCCTTGTGGATGAAGAGGAGACCTTCCATGTAACAACCATTTATTAAATATTCCCTGTGGACACTGAAGCATATCAAGCATGCCTGAACCTTAATTGTGATTATATTTTATTACTTCTTAGATTATTAAGCATTTAAACTACCAAATTTCAGAATCAATATTCTCAATAGTGGAAGACTGCTAACAGCAATTTTACTAAATATTTCAGCCCTGTTCCAACAATCTCATGGAGGAAAGTTAATGGTCATAATCCAAGTAAAGCCCGCTTGAGAAAATCCCAAGCTGTGCTTGAAATACCTAATGTGCAGCTAGAGGACGCGGGGATGTACGAATGTAAAGCTGAAAACTCCCGTGGAAGGAATGTCTTCAGAGGACAGCTGCAAGTGTACAGTAAGTATGACCACAGATAGTATTATCCAGTAAGGCTTTGTCTGCACTTAAGGCTGTAAATATATATGAAGAATGCTCAGGCTCAATGCAAAAGAAATATTTTTCTTCTGAAAAAAGATCGGAATGGAATTAAGCTACATATTTTTATTCCTCAGTAATTCATTAAAGTACGAAACATGAAAAATATAGACTCCTTCAAAAGATGACAAAAGCAGAATTTTATGTTTCTTTATGTTTAGGGTTTCCTTTAAAAATGTTATACTTATCATTTAAAAATCTATATTTTTGATTCTTCTGATATGATATATAATGCAGACATGTAACTCATATCTGATGCATGTCATAAAACTGTTTTATAAATATCCTAGGATTTTTTTCATTTCTTTTATTAAACCTACTTCATTTTGCCATTCCTCAGTGATGAATACTTGCTAATTTCATTGTATGAGTAAAAGAACTGAATGTGCCTCTATTTTTGTAAATAGAAAAAAAAATCCTAAGATTCCGTTTTTGTGGAGGGCTAAAAAAGGTCACCATTTGGCCTGTGGAAGAACCACAAACAGAACTTAGATCACAACATGATATAGTATTCTAGCYACCTCATAGCACTTACTCATTAGTTAGGATGAGGTGAGCTAGCTCATCAGTTTTCATTTTTGAGGAGAAATAAAGATGCTATCCAAATCTAGGAGTCCATCGAGAACGTCTTCTCCATAAACTTTGCAAAGCTAGAAAAAAAGAATTTTTCATTGTTCATTATTGTATGGTTGTCAAAATCATTTTTATTCAGTCATTAACTTTATGGGTAGTACAGTTTGTTCTAATATACATATTAGAAATTATTTAATATTACAGAAAGGGGGTACACTTCAGATTGACTCTGATTAACAACTACCTGAGACATAGGTGTTATGTGTGTATAATACTATGTTGCTATTTTGAAAGTTGATTGTATAAGTCTGCCTTATAGACAAATTCAGGGAAAAAAAAAATCTATAATGGAGAGCTAGGTCAGTGCAGGTAACAGAGAGCTTTCAAATGGAGATCAAAAGTGACCTTCTCAGTACCAGAGAACATGCTGCCCAAGCTATTAATAGTCTACCTAGAGCACTTTTCTGTCCCTCAAGATGAAGTAAATCCCTCAGTGAGGCTCTCACATCAGAGGGCTCCAGTAGACAGCAGACAGCATTAGTATCTCATTGGCCTACAGACCCTGACATCCCATTACAGGGATTTGGCAGGATTTGGGGGCATTTGTTGCTATAGTTCTAATTCATAACAACACCAGACATGAATTATTTATCTTAAAGCTCATTGKTTTTTTACTGACATGTTATTCCTCCAGGACACAATGATTATTTTGGCTCAGAAATTCATATGTAGGCCATCATTCCTTACTAAGGCTCTCTTAGAAAATTTCAGAACAGGCTGTGGGGCCAGTCATGTCTCACTATTTGCATATCTCTGCAGGAATTCACTTGCTGTCTGTTTGAATCTTCTTCATTTTGTCAGTTGCATCTGAGCTGGTTTACCACCACGGAGTTTGGAAAAAACTCCGACCTCCAAGCCTGCCTGTCTCATCACATTTAGTCACGAACTACTGATTTCTTACCTCATGCTATAATCCCGATGAGTACCATGGCAGTCTGATGCAGTTGACACTTCAGATGTTGCCCAGATAGTGGTGTTTTGGATGTCGACAACTTCGGACTGTAGTTGTAAGCACTGACTTAGCTGAAATTCAACTATAGAAATAACAAATGCATGAAAAATTGCCTTGCTAATGCAAGACATGGCCGTATACATGCCTGCAATCCATTTATAGAGGTTGTTATTTCTCTTAAGTGATTTGGTCATCTTTTAATTTACATAATTGATTTTTATTCAAGGTTAAATTTATTAATAGAAGAGAGGACAAAATTTAAAATTTTCATGAAGAAATTAGGCATTAATCATTTTTAATCAGTCACTACTGGCATTTTTCCAACAGCGACTTCTGGTTTGAGCAATCCTGATCTTCTTGCACTCTGAATCTCTTACTTTTGAGAATGTAAGATGGATGCCCAGGAGGAATCCGCTAGATCTTTCCTCCTCCTTCCCCCATTTCCTTTCCCTTTTATCTTCCTCTTCCCTTTGATCCTCTCCTTCCCCATTAATCATATAGATTTCATTGTCAGATCCTTTCTTGCCTGTGTTTTTCTTTCTTCATATTTTCATATATGTTTTCCTCTCACATCTTTTTGTTTCAATACACAAGTATCAACAAAAAAGAAGTCAGAAAAGCAATTCAGGGGCATTGAAAATGGGAGAGCAGGTATCTCTGCAATGAATGCAAGTTAATTACTAAAGAAGAAACAAAGTAAAAAGAACAAGGAAATAAATTAGGACAGAACAGTGATACAAAAGACAAATCCAATCCAAGATGCTCCCAGCTGACTCCCAGCAATTGGATGATATTTGTACAGGAACTAAAAGCTGTCACTAAAGTTGAGCCCTCACAGACCAGATGTTCAGCTCCAGCTTTACAATGCAAAGGGGAAAGAGAACCCAGCTCGCACAGTTACACTACATTACACAGGCAAGAAACATCAAATGCAGGTTTTCTCCTCTCACAAGGGAAAATAAATGTGTGAATAGATACTCTACCCTGGCAGGTGCTGCAATATTCTGTAGGTCCAGATTTTTTTTGACCCTCTTTGTATAAACAGGCTTAGGAAAACAAGCTTTCCTTTAAGCACAGTCCATACTAAAAGCCATTATCTATTAGGTACCGCTGACACTATCAGAGAAAGGATATTATTCCTCAATGGCAAAATGAAAGGGTAGCATAGAGTTTTCAATCTCAAGCAGCATTTTAAACACTTCCTACAAAACCTGCATGGAAGCATGCATAGTGTCACTGTACATTAGCCTCAAATGCAGGTAGCAAGACTGGCTTGAAATGGGGAGATTTCTGCAGTCAGGCCTGCAATTTGCTGTCTTTCTAACCCTGCCATGACACCTATTCTTCTTCTATTGTTGTCTTGTGTCCAGAAAATTAAGCTTTTCGGCCCTATCTTTGTTCGCATTCACACTTTCTGAAGTCAAAGTACTTGCCTATACAACATTTTCTCCTTTCCTTTTTTTTTTTTTTTTTTTTTCCCCAGTCCAAAAGTTGCATAGGTATTTTTGAGAAAGTAGTCTGAGTTTTCTGAGTTTTCTGCATCTGAATTTCATTTGGCACGAAGGATTAAAAAAAAAAAAAAGCCTGTAAGTTTGCAGATTTATTGCCATTTTATGTTTGTAAAACATTTTGACATCCATGAATAAAAAGAGGTGTAGGAAAGCAAAATAAAATAAATCAGAGAATGGCCACAGTGATTTTAAAATCTCTGGAGCACTATAGAAAGCTATGGCACAATATCCATAAAGACTACTGAATAATAAAATACATACTTCTATTCTTACATTCATCCCCAGAACTGTTCATTGGGCAGAAAAAAGTCAGGCAAACATCCATTGCTTCCCAAGCTGAATGTTGTCTTTATAAAGAGAAAAAACATCTGTTATTATAGAATCCATTGAAATACTTCTTGTTAATATTTTAAGTTTTCAATTAAAATTAAGGGCAATTATAAAAGGAGTTTTTCATTTCCARTGTGTATAATAAGATGAAGATCAACTGTTTTTGTTAAGAAAATAATAGACTGAGCAAGAGGCTGCAAWTCCAGTTCCTTCTTTAATATTTCTTTTAGCTCTTGACAGAGTTTAAGTGCAAATATAAAGATATAATGGAGAAAAACACTTGCAAATGAGCTTTATTTTCCTATTGCAGGGTAAGAAGTGAATAGGGAGAGGAAAAAATACAAAAAGTGAGCCAAAACATTTCTCTCAATTATATAGCTGTGTTCCTGCTCCATCTACCTTTGCTATTTTGTTCACAATTTCTTTTATTTTAATTTCTTTCATTCCAAGCGGTATCCGAGTCAATATTTCTGTTGATGACAAATTCAACTGCTTGAAAATCTAGAGTCCAGAAGCCATTTAATGTATCAGGAGAAAATTTGGTGCCGAAACATTCCAGACAATGAAATTATGCATGTCAACAACAATCAGKCACACAGATGAGATTTGCAAACGTGTGGTTATAGACCAGTGGCCATGCCAAGACTGTGCTATTAAGAAAGCCACAGTCAGAGGAGCTGCAGTTGTGTACCTATGAGAACATCCCTGGATCAAACCTGATGAGATCATTTTATTTCAGTGAAATCAGGTTCATGCTCAAATTTCAATTCCTGAACTTCAGGATGAGAACAAATCCAAAAAACAAAAATAAGGCCATTTATGTTTTAGCTCATATATCAGAACTTTCAGAAAAGAAAAATAATAAAAAGAGTGAAATAAAATGCTACTAGCACTAGTTTAATGCCTCTTTGAAATTACATAATTTTATGACACTATCAGCTAACTTTAATGTTTTTTTCATTACAAATTTAACTGTCACAGCATCAAAATCATATTAGCTCTGCTCATTTTCAAATGAAAGAATTGCTGCTTAGCATTCTTCCTTCAAACCAAACACTCAAGAGAAAAGAAAAAAAAACTAGACAATACTATTAAATTATATTTTAGAACATTTAGTACAATTACTAAGCAGCCAGTGAGCAGGAACACCCATATGTTGCTTCCAGTATTACATGGGGTCTTCTAATTAACAGAAGAAGCCAGAGATTCAGTGTGGAGAGAACACATTTCATGTGTTACCTTGACTACAGTAAGAACAGAAGAGCAGTTGTCTTGGGTCTTCGGTTTGGGAGTGAGGTTGGGTCTATCTGGTTTCTGATTTCTTCAACTAGAAWGAAATCAGTGATTCTTCTTCTGATATCTTAAAAAGAATCACCTAGTCAAACTCTTCTCTGCTTAGGAGTGATAGACATTTGACTCTCATTCTTCATCATCAATGCAGACAGAATAAGTCAGTTATCTGTCATGCCTCCTTTGATCTTCTCCCCTCTTTGATTGGTGACCTGTCAGATGTCAGCCAGATTCAAAGATTTATTTTTAAACTCAGTTCGACATTTTAGGTAGGTTATAAATTAGCGGAAGCTCAAAACAGAGTCTTTGTTGTGACACCTCTGTATTTCTCTTCTTTCCAGTCAGAAATGMTGCATAGTCTTTTAGCAGTGGAATCCCTCAACAATTTTCCCATTTTTTTTTCTTMGTATTTAAGGTTATTTAAGTTAATTAATTTGATCTATTGCACTCTTTGCTACAGACCTTGATATTATTTCAATATGAAAAAAAAATCTGACTTCTTAGCATACATTTGTTCTATCTATACATGAATAAACAGTTCTTCACTGAATCATGAAGTTTTACAAATTGACCATTTGTCATTGGCCATTGCATTAAAGATCTGAATCTCTGCAAAGATGTTCCCTGCTTTTAAACAGGTTATTACATGAAGTTTAGGTACTAAAAACCACATACATGCCTAACTATTTTGAGCTTTAAAAAAATACCATTTTGAATGTACTAAACACAATGCACTTTAATGAGAACATGTGCAGATAACTTTGCTAAAATTCTAGTCATTCCTAGSTCAATAAATCATGATTTGTCAATAGGTTGATAGAACTGCATGAAACAGAGGAACTGGAATAATTATTATTGTTGAATTTATGAACCTGTTAGCCGCAATAGAATATTTAGGAACTCTGCAAGGTCTAAGTTACTTAAGTTTTAGTAAAGAGGTAATTTATCGTAGCCCCTCTGTTTCATGCAATTCTAGCAAGTCTAGCAGAGTTACTAAATATTCTATGGAAGCTACCAGGTAAATGTTCCTAAATTCAGTAATAATAAATCAGTAATCTATACTACTGTAATTTAAACCACTGGAATAAACTAAATCAGACAGACTTTCTATTCTTGGTCATAACTACTCATTAACAGGTCCACATTGCATTATTTTCCTTAATGTTATAGAAATCTGTTAATCTTATTACTTTCTGGGTTTTTTGTTTGTCTGTTTATTTGAATGTACATTTTTTTTTCTTTTTTCTTTTTTGCAGCGTACCCACATTGGGTGGAGAAACTTAATGATACACAGTTAGACAGTGGAGATCAACTCCGATGGGAATGTAAAGCCACTGGGAAACCACGGCCCACGTATCATTGGCTAAAAAATGGAGTTCCACTGTGGTCACAGGTACATTTCCCAATGGAGCACCAGTATGTTGCAAGCTTCTAATTTGATTCAGATAAAGGGAATTAAGGTACTTAAAAGTACTTCACAAACAAGTGTTTGATATTATCTCTTCTTTTATCTGGGCCTGTTTAGCCTGGAGAAAAGAAGGTTGAGAGGGAATCTGATCAATATGTATAAATATCTGAAAAGTGAGGGTAAATGTAGGGAGGAAGGGACCAAGCTCTTCTCAGTGGTGGCCAGGGTTAGGACAAGGGGCAATGGGCACAAGTTGAAATGTAGGAGATTCCATCTGCATGTGAGGAAGAACTTCACTGTGAGGGTGACAGAGTCCTGGAAGAGGCTGCCCAGAGAGGTTGTGGAGTCTCATTCTCTGGAGCTCTTCCAAACTCACCTGGATGCCACATTTTGCCACATGCTGTAGGTATCCCTGCTAGAGAAGGGGATTGGACTAGATGATTTCCAGAGGTCCCTTCTAACCTTGAACATTCTGTGATTCTGTGATTCTCTGATTTTCTTAAGTGCTACTAAATGGACAGATTTGCTATGCATGTCCCTTCTGGCTGCTYTCCAGCACTGCAAAGTTGCATTCATCAGAAATTCCCTGTAGTTCAGAAAGATGGGGGAGGCAAGGCTGTTTCTACAGTTCCATCACCCTATTATTTATTTGCTTTGATATCCCTCTGAGCAATACTCTATATGGTGGGATTTTTGTTTRTTGTCTTCTGTTTTAGTTTGTGATATTATCTATAAAACTGTTACTTGTGYCTAAGCTTTTCTGTATATACAGTGAGCGACAACTCAAGGAAGGCCTGTGTTCTCTGAATCTAACTCTTTCCTAACTTCACAGCATATTTCCATTGTACATACTATACACTTCATAACCCTTAAAGATAAAGTAAGAGGTATAATGTATGTTTTATGCTCATCAGATTTCAACTCTATTTATTTTCTGCAAATAGCATAACATACCTACATCACCAAGACTTTAAAAATATACATATAAGACTGCAAGAATGTCAAATGTTGAACTATGGTGATATATTAAAATTAAGGCCAGATAAAATCATAATTTTATCTCAAAGATCATTTATGGCTTGATCTGCTGCTTATTTTACTTTATTTCTTTCATTGAATCATCATTGAATCAGCTCACATATCTTTTGTCCAGTACATTTTTATTTCTTACAGTCTCAAAAATATTTAGAATAAAAAATGTTTTGGGAATTTACATAATGCATTTTTTTCCAAATTAAAATAGAACTGTTCATTTCTGGGAGAAAACATCTCCATTTGTAAATGAATACACAGACTGGATATATGAATATCACAGAATCGCAAAATGTTCAAGGTTGGAAGGGACCTCTAGAGATCATCTAGTCCAACCTTC